AAAGTAGAGAGAGCTTTTCCTATGTTTGCTACTTAATTGCCTTCAACTCAAAGTAATTCTTATGTTAAAGAGGCATATATTGGGGTGACATATTCTGGTTTCCTTCATTATGTTTTTCTGAACTAACTGAAAATTGCAAGTATCACAATGCATTAGCTCTAAGTATTGCCGCATGCATCTCCCAAGAATAAGAACATTCTCCCACATAATCACAGTATCATTATTGTACTTAAGTGAACTGGAAATAACTCTCTAAAATCTTGCATATCTAGTCCATATTCAAATTTCCACAATTACTTCCAAGTTTTTAAAACCATGATCCAATCATGATTTATGGTTTGCATTTGGTTGTTGTTTGTATTCTCTTGTAATCTAGAACAGTCTTTGTACTTTATTTTATTTTATTTTATTGGGGAATTGGAGGAGGGGAACAGTGTTGGGGAATTGGGGAAGGGGACTAGCTAAGTTGTTGTTCTTCAATCTTCGTTGTGGAGGGCGCCAGTCGCCATCTGGCTGCCCATCGGCAGCTCGTGGCCTCTGAGCTCAAGGTGCTGTATTCAATTTTAGTTGCGGGTGGGCGTAGCCACCATCCCATGGGGGAGTCGAACCAGCAGCCTTGTTGTTAAGATTGCACACTCTATCCACTGAGCCATCCGAGTGGCAGTTCAGCTCAAGGTGCCAAGTTCAGTCTTCATTGCGAGTGGGCATAGCCCACCATCAAACAGGCAATCTTGTTATTACACCAGCTGAGCCATCCTGCCACCTGTTGGCAGCTCAACGACAGCTCAACTCAGGCGCAGTGTCACTGGCCCATGTGGGAATCGAACCAGCGGCCCTGTTGCTCAGAGCTCGTGCTTTTAAGCCAACTCTTAACCAACTGAGCCACTCGGCCGGTCGTACTTTTTTTTTCTTTTTTAAAAGATTTTACTGGGGAAGTGAGGGAGGGGAACAGCACTGGGGAATCTGGGGGAGGGGAACAGACAAGTTGCTGTCCTTTTGTTCTTCAGTCTAGTTGTGGAGGACGTTGCTTCACTGGCCCACGTTGGTATCATCATTGTGCCCTTCCTGGGTGAGGGAGATTGGTCGCTGGCCTGTGGATGGCAGCTCACGGCGGCTCTTGACAGCTCACATTGGCTGTCGGCCACTCATGCTGGCTGCCGGCCACACACGGTAGCTTATGGCAGCGCACTGCAGCAGGGACTGCAGCCTACGCCATCGCCGGTGACTCATGGCAGCCCAGCTCCAGGTCGAGCTGTTGTTCACCATTTTAGCTGTAGAGGGCAGTGTCACTGGCCCTCATGTGGGATCTGAACCAGGGCCCTGCTGCTCAGAGCCAGCGTCCCAAGCCGGCTCTTAACCAACGCACCACTGGGCCAGCCCCAACTTTTTTTTTTTCTTGATAGGGACTTGGTGGAGACCAGGCCAGATGTTTCGTAAAACATCCCGCATGCTAAATTCGCCTGATTATTCCTCATGGTGTTATTAAATTTGTTCCTCCATCCCTTGTATTTGTTAGAAACAGGAAGTCAAGTCTGGAGGCTGGGCTGGATTTAGGTTATACATTTTTGGCATTATTATCTCCTGAATGCTTCTGGGCACTTCATATTGTATCCTATCAGGAGACACATAATGTCAGGTTGCCCTACTACTAGTGATGCTAAGTTTGATCACTTGGTTACAGTGGTGACTGACACATTTTTCCACATAAAGGTATGCTTTCCCTTTGCAAATTGTTAATGCAAATAATCTGTGGAGCAATGCTCTGGCACCATGCATCATCCTATACTCAGTAACCTTTCACCTAGCATCCACTGAGTCATTTTTTCACTGGGAATTGCAGTATAGTTCTACTGAGTTTTTTTAATGTCAGTGGCTGTATTTTAAAATGTTTTTCTAGTTTTTTTCAAATACACCTGTTCTCTTTTACATATTGCTTTATCTTTCACAATTATTTATTTTTTTATGTTTGCTATCCTTTTGATATTAAGCATACCAATTGTATAGACTCCGATTGTTCTATTACCAGTTTGAGGAAGGGAGGGCATTTTTTTTTCTCTATCGTGATGCTGTGTGTACAGCAGTATGCTGGAGTTCCTGGCATATGTAAATGTCCCTAATCTAATGGCTTTGTGTTTGCTAAGGTTTAGGGGGTTCATTATTTTCGGACCATGGGCCTCTCCAGGGTCAACTCCCCTTGCTGCCCTGATTTCTCCTATTATTTTTGGCACAAAGGAATTCTCGACTTTGGGAACTTTGTTTCCAGTGGGCTTTACTGTTTTTTTGACCACTGGATATTAATTTCTTGACTTCAGGTTCCTATAACAGGAAGGCATTTGAATCAGAAACAAGTTATGAGGGCTGGAGCTTTATCACCCATGCATGGCCAGGAGAAATTCCCTGGGTCTTCTCAAGGATGAGGAACTGGAAATAAGGCCCCCTACAAAGATCCATGTGCCCCAAGGGTTCCACATTGGCCCTGAGAAGCAGCAAGGAAGTTTGCAACTACCTGGACTCACACATGCAAAAAGCAAAAAAGGTGGGAATGAGTCTGAATTTACATCACTCTAACTCAGGAGGTACAGAAACAAACACAATAAACACCCATGATTCATGTAAAAAATAATTATTTCGATATTGTTGAAGTACCCCTCTCTAAACACATTACTCTCTCTGCCAGGGCAACTGCTCTCCTGAATCTTAGTGTTTGTTATTCCCAAACATCTTTATTCTTTTATTACACAGGTATGCTTCCCTAAACAATATCCCACATCTCTCTAGTCTGGCTCTCATCCTGAATACTTCACCAAAACTGCTCCCGGTCACCAATGACTTAGGTGCTAGCAAATTTAAAGAATATTTCTCTGTCCTCATCTTAGCTGCCCTCTCTGCAGCTCTCCAGTTACTTTCTCCTTCACTATTTCTAAAGCTTCTACTCCCTGGTTTTCCTTATCCCTTCAAACCACCTTAATTTCATCTCCTTGCTCTTCCTCCTCTGCCTTACCTCAAAATGTTGGCATACTCCATGGCTCAGTATGGTTCCTCTCATCTCCATCTATACTCTCTCTCTAGGATATCTCCTTAAGTTCCAACTCTAAATACATCTACATAAAATGACTGCCAAACCTCTCTGGCCTTGATCTTTCCCTGAGCTCCTAGCTTGTATATCCAACTGCTCACTTGATAACCTCCATGCTGAAATCTTGTGGACATCTGACTCAACAAGACTAAAATGAAACCCTTGATTTATACCCCCACAACCTGCTTCCTTCACAACCTCAATCCCCTATTTCAGGAAATGGTCCAACATCCACCCCATGTCTCTAAACCAGAAACCACAAGTCATCCATGATTACCCCTTCTCTTTCACCCCACATCAAACTTATCAACCTAAATAAACTGAAGCAGGCTTGGATTACCAGAAATTGAGTTTATTTGGGAATAGCAGAGGAATTGCAATTTTGGAAACATGCTATAGCAAGCTACAGGCTAGTCGTTGAGCATTTGGGACAGGCTGTATAGATTGGCAAGGAGCACAAAGTGAGGGAAATTCAGCCAGAGTCCAAGCAGTAATTTTACTGGTTTAAGGATGAGGAAAGATTCTTAGTGGATGTTCACTGGTCAGCAGATAAGTCTCTCCATCTTCTGTAAATCAGGCATTTATGGGAAATCAGTCTCTAGTTCTTAATTTCCATTCTTCCAAGGGCACAAGTGTGAGGTTGTCCATTTTATATCCTCATTTCATTTTAGATTGAAATCCTTTCACAAACCCATAAGCAAGACCCATTCACTCCACTTCCCAAAGAAGGTACACCTTTAATCCATTCTCTTAGCTACATTTCCACTGTAACTACCCCAGGCTAAACTGGCATAATCTCTTGCCTGCTAAATTGTCTCATTTCCAGTCTTGTCCCCTTCAAACCAATTTTCCACACAGTAGCAAGCCTGATATACATAAAATTAAATGTAACTCAGCTCTCGTCACTGCTCTGCTTAAACTTCTTCAATGACTTCTCATTAGAATAAAAGCCAAAATTATTACCTATAAGCTACAAGATGCAAAATGATCTCACTCCTCTCCCCTTCACCTGCCTTCCAACCACACTGGCTTCTTTCAGTTCTTCCAAAGTTCTTTCCTGCCTCAGAGCCTTTGCACACATGATTTTCACATCTTAGTCTGGAAGGCTCATCATCTCCTTCTTGCCCTCCATTTTAACATGTCCTGTTCCTCCGTGTTCTCTACACTCAGACAAAATACCACTTCAAAGAAGTCTTTCCTGGCCACTTTATCTAAAGTAGGTTCCTCCTCCCAGCTTTCAGTTTCCCTCGGGGCACTTACCTCAGTTTTACTTGTAATTTACTTTTTTTCCTCTATTCATATTTGAAATGTTAGATCAAGGAGGGCAAGAACTACTATCTCCAGCACCTAGCACCATGCCTAGAACGTGATAGACACAACAGTGAATCTGTGTCTTTCAGGCATGTTAAACATAGTCCCTCCCTCGTCCCTAAATAAATAAATAAAAATTTTACATAAATAAAAAAGCGAAAACAAAAATAAACAAACACAGTCACTGCTTTAAACTTCGCAATAACTTTGCGAGGAAGGAAACATGCTCCCCATTGGGCAAAGGAAACCCAGTTTCTAACTTGTCCGCGGTCACCGAGCTACTAACTGAAGGAGTCCAGATTCCAACCCATGTCTGTAGGACCCCAGAGCCCTCACTCAAACACCATACTGATGTTTCTCGGTTTGGGGAAAACACAACAGTACACAGCTGTTTTGGTAAAGCATCGACAACAAGACCACTTCAGTCCGGCGGGCCGGAAAAGTTCCCAGCAGGCCCTGCGCTCGGAGTTGCGGACAGACGAGTGGGCGGTCCCAGGCGCCGGAAGACTGACTGGAGACTACGTGTCCCAAAAGGCTTCGCGGGACGACGCTGACTGGTGGAAGTACGGCCGGCGACAGCGTGATGACGTTTCAAAGACGCTGGCGCGCGGGATTTAAACTGCGGCGGTTTACGCGGCGTTAAGACTGTAGGATTAGCAAAGTTGTAGTTTCTTTCCGTTTTGAGTTTTTCATCGGCGCATCTGAGGACTGCCCAATGGACTCGTCGCTTCAGGCCCGCTTGTTTCCCGGTCTTGCCATCAACATCCAACGCAGTAATGGTGAGGAGCGGGGTCCTGAGGCCAGGGGAACCCGTGGGTTGTGAGACGACTGAAATTACTGCCCCTCTCCAAACGTCAGGACCCTGAGACACTTTGGGAGATTTCCCCCACACTCCAGGTCTGGGTCACTGCACTGGCAATCGGTCTTCCCTATGCAAAGCTAGGAGCCTCTGCACTGGCGATGCGTTTCCTCTCTATCCTCCGGGAGTAGGCGGGGCTCCTTCACATTCATGGACCTTCCAGGGAAGTTACGGTTGCTAGATTCACTTACCCCCAAATTAGTTCTCCCCTGAAACTGCCTTGCTCTTGTAGGAACCTCAGCTTCCTGGCCCCTCTACTCTCCTATAAATATTGCGCACCTCCAGTATGTCGGGCACTGGGATTCAGTGTAACGAGACAGACCAGATCCCTGCTCTTCAGAAGCTTACAATGTCTATTGTATGGTTAATAGCTACCGCAGCTCTGTCAGGTCTAATACCTGTATCATTAAGGAGAATGGTCAGACATAACCGCGAAGAGGGAGGTAGGGAAACCCCAGGGCGCCATAGCCTCAGTGCTGTGTTGAGGAACAGTTCACCTAAGGACTAGCGTGACTCCCTTGCCCAAACATAACCTCCACCCCACTGTAGGCTCTTTTGAGTGGGGCTGAATCTTTATCTCCTGCAACTCAGTTTTAAGACTTGTTTCCTGCCTACCCCTCTATGGGATGTCCTAAGGGTGAAGTATCAGAAGGTTTATTTGTCTCCCAATGTTAAAAAGCAAAAAAAAAAGAGTCCTTTTTTCAGGTCAACTCCACATTGAGAGTCTGTGGAATCCTAAAAGTGAAAAAGGGGTAACTCTGGACTTTTCATACTATAGGTTTAATTCACAGTGCCAGTGTAAGGACTGTGAACTTGGAGACAGCCTGTGTTTCAGTGGAATGGACAGAAGGAGGTGCCACAAAGGGCAAAGAGGTAGGTTCTATGAGTATGCCTCCACCACATGTAACACCTTCCTACCTAAAAGATCTGCGTGAAAATGGAACCTGTGAGAACCTTGTTTTTGATGCTGTGTGCTCCTCCCTAATCTTAAACACATCCTCTTTGGATGCATTGGGATTTTATTTAGTCAGGCCTGTTCTAAATTGAAGTAATCAACAGTTTCTGGTGTGTTTGCAGAAAGCAAACTGCACAGAATCCTAAAAACTAATCACTCATACGAGCTTCTTAGTGCATATGATACTTGTTTGAGGAGCAAAATTGATAACCTAGTTGAGAAGACAAAAGTATGTTTCTGAAACACCAAATAACAGAAAGTAACTTGTGATGAATGGCAGATAAATAGTGGTAGAGCAGCTCAGAGGTGAAGCTCGCTGAGGATGAGCTGGGCTTGTGGGGGTGGGGCAGGAAAGTTCAGCAGATGACCCTCATAGAGACTAGTGAAGAAGCTGGCTCCAGGCAGTAGGAGACTCAGGGTGCTGAGTCTTCACCTCCCGCCCTAAGATGTTTGAGATTTTAGAGATTTCTGTAGGCAGTGGGGAGCCTTCGAAGGATTTTGAGAAGAGGAGAGATATGACTAGAGATTTATGGGTTGTTGTTGTTTTTAATATTTTATTGGGGAGGGGAACAGCCAAGTTGCTGTCCTTTAGTCTTAGTTGTGGAGGGTGCAACTAGCTTAGCTCCAAGTCCAGTTGCCATCCAGCAGCTCGCGGCTGCTCAGCTCAAGGTGCTATGTTCAATCTTAGTTGCAGGGAGGGAGCGGGGATGGGGGGGAAAGGGCACAGCCCACCATCCCGTTCAGAGTCAAACCTGCAACTTTGTTGTTAGGAGCACGTGCTCTCACCAGCTGAGCCATCCTGCCACCTGTTGGCAGCTTAGCGGCAGCTCAGCTTGCTCGCCCATGTGGGAATCGAACCAGTGACCCTGTTGCTCAGAGCTTGTGCTCTTCACCAACTGAGCCACTCAGCCGACCCAAGAGATTTATGTTTTAAAGGCATTGTGATGTGGTTAAGAGGTCATCAGCCTAGGAGTATTAAAATATGCCACTTCTTTTATATGTTCTCAGGCATGTTTCTGCCCCTCTCAGTAATTTGGTTTCCTCATCTATAAAATGAGGATGATAATACCTCATTGGGTTGTTGTGAGGATTTATTCAACAAGTCCTTTTGTACTGGTTCCAAAATGCCAGACAGTGTGTTTGTTTCTGGAAATACAGAAGTGAGTAAGCTCTGGACCCTCTTTCATGGAGCTTAATGAGATAACACATGTAAAAGGCTTGCTTAGCATGGTGCCTTATGATAGGTATGCAGATATTTAGATGGTATATTTGAGAAATGAAAGGATTGAATACTTTACATTATCTGCCCTTGAATCAAGAGGTTCCTAAAATTTCAACCAGCTATTAGCAGTTTATTGTGATTTGTTTTGTTTTGTTGTTGTTTAGAAATACAGCTCTTGTTGGGTCTCACTCCAGCTGAGATATTACCTGTAGAATAAGGTCCAGACTTCTTAGTGAGGTATTCAAAGCCTTTTTAAGACCTGATCCCAATCTATCCTTTTCTTTGTACCACACATCATCTCCTGTGCCCGGGCAAATGGGGCAGGTCACTACTCTGACCAGGCCTAGTGCCTTGCTGCCTTCATACTTTCTTGTTCCTTCTCCCTGGGATGTTCACTCTGAATAATCAATGTGAGAATCAGTTAATGTCAGAACTATAGCCCTTTGTGCATGTGACTTCTTTGCCCCATTAGAATGTGAGCTCATTGAAGACAAGATTTCTTAATTCATCTTTTAATACCTTCTTCTGCCTTACTAATGCCTAATGTTTGAATAAGCCAGTTAATAAATATAGGTCGCATAAATAGAAAGTTAAGCTCTTACCCTGGTGAGAGCTATCATCCATGCTTCAGTTCTGTCACATTTCAAATACAAATGACCAAGTTGATGCTATTTTGGTGTGTTTAAACCTGCTGTGAAGTATACTGATGAAGTTTGATTTGTTCCTAGAGGGTTTCAGGACTCTGGTGATGTAAACCTAGAATTGTGACCTCATTGTAGGCATGAGCAGGACACTGTGACTGGGGAAGAAGTTTCTGGGCCCATTAGAAAATGTAGGTAGACTTAGGGTTAGGTAATAGCTCTCAGAAACTCGTCTGTGCCTATAAGATCCTGAATGGCCCTTCATTTTTACTATCACCAGGACAGTTAGAACTTGATTCCTCTTCTGTGTCAGCCAGCAATACGTGTTCGGGGTGCCATTCCCAGCAGGACCCCACGCCCAGCAGAACAGTAGGGAAGCCAAGTGGCCTAGACCCACTGTGGACTCCCTGACTGTTTGCCTGCCTGTCTTCCTCTTCACCTCGTTCTCATCACTGACATCTACCATTAGCTTGGAAATCAGAAACCAATATCCATCTAGATGGTAAACCATGACTAAGGACTAAGTATTTGCTTATAGCTGTTAGTACTTGATGGAATTTAAAGTTGGTAAAGTCTGAATCTAAGGGTAGCCTTGGTTGCAGAGATGCAGTTAGATTGAACAAGCTATGTTGTTTCACTGAAACTTTTACTTGCTCCTTGCAGATTGATTTTGATGATGTGGCCGCAATAAACCCAGAACTCTTACAGTTTCTTCCCTTACACCCGAAAGATAATCTGCCCCTGCAGGAGAATGTAACGGTTCAGGTTGGTGCCTTCACTGGCTGCAGCCAGTGCTCCAAAGGATTCCCTTGTCTTGTTGGCTCTTTGCTGGGTTGATTTCTGGGACTGCCTAGAACTTCAGCACAGCACATGGGCCCTTGAGAATCGATAAGAGCCATATATTGTGGTGGTTTGTTTTGTTTTTCAGAAACAAAAACGGAGATCAGTCAACTCCAAGATTCCCGCTCCAAAGGAAGGTAAATGGATTTCTACTGGCTTATTGTGATGGGTTGTGCCAGAAATGATGTTCCTGGGGCTCAGGAAGCTGTGAAGACTCATTGCTCCAAGTTTAGCAGGTGGCTTCTATGTGGGTTGAGTCCTGCCTTATCTACTCATTGTCTTTCTCAGTGAGGAGAAACCCAACATACAGGAAGGAGGAAATGGAGAAGTGTTGGTACAAAGATTCAGTTATGTAAGATAAATAAGTTCTGGCGATCTAATGTACAACATAGGGCCTATGATTAATAATACTGCATTGTGTACTTAAAATTTTACTGAGGGTAGATATTATGTTAGTGCTCTTAGTACAAAAGGAAAAAAAAACAAAAACATAAAACAAAAAGGGAGTGGGTGGAAACTTTTAGGGTGATAGGTAATTTTATAGCATTGATCGTGATGATGGTTTCATGGGTATATACTTATCGCTAAACCTATTAAGGTGTATACATTAAATATCTGCAGCTTTTTGTATGTCAATCATACCTCAAAGCAGTTGAAAAAAAAAAGAATCCATCCATCCAACCTACAGTTCTTAGACCAACCTCTCAGGGACCTGATGCATTTGGGAAATTTGCTGACTGGTCTAGAAGTTTATGCTGTAGAATCCAGAGCAGTAATCAGCCATTGGCGGGCTTGTTTTCTTCCCTCAAGAGAACAATGTGCCTTGGAGTGAAGTGATCAGTAGGCTATGAGAAAAGCTATGTCTGGGCTGTTTAGAAGCATAGTCGATAGTGCTATAGAGATCTGCGGGTGGGATGGGATGGGTGGTATTTGAGCAATGCCTCAAAGCCTAGGAGAAAGTTGGGCTTTCTCTGCAGTAGTCAGCATAAACCTACTTTGACTACAATAGTCTGTGACCATAGGGTGTGGCTGTGCACAAACTGCCCAAGAAATCCAGCTTAGTGTTCAGAGCCAACTATACCCACATGACCTATCCCAGCTCAGAGGTTATCACTGCCCTAACATGACCTAGCCACCTCAGGGGCCAAGATAACTACTTGGCCGGAGCTTCAGGTTTCTGGGGGCCCAGGATGAAAGGTGGTGCAGTTGCGAGCTTGGGTTGGACATGAGTGGTGTGGTGCTAACCCTCGTGCTGGCTGTACCATAAGGGCCTATGGGAGAGACGGAAGTGGCAGCAGTCTCACTCCACATGCACGACCCCAAGAGATGTTGCCACAGCTCCTTTTAATGGAAAAAAAAGTCTTAATAAAGGTGCATGCTATTGAGCAGTAGAAATGAAACACAAAATTGCAAATCTTTTGGGAAATAGGAAATTGTATAATTCATGCTCTTTTGAAAGACATGGATTATACAGAGCCATCAAATCAGCCTAAATTTAGTAGACTTATAAATTCAGTACAAGTTGATCTTTGCCTATATAACACCTAGTTTTCTATTTCCAAATTTGTGACTTATTTTATAGGTGAATTCCTTCTCTCTTATGGAGGGAAACTATATAGATGGGTAGAAATTGACAAGAATTCAAATATAACTCAATTGTTTCTCTCAGTTAAGCATTCTTTTAAGATTCCAGAAAATCAGTGTAGTTGATCCCATGGGTTTCTCATGCTGTGGCCCAGGCCTGGCTTTGTAAAGCTCCCTAGAGCAGTGGGAAAAGCCCAGACTTTGGAATCTGACAGTCTTGGGTTCACATCCTGGCTCTGACACTTACAGTTGAGTGACATTGGGCAAGCTGCTTAATTTTTTATTTTTATTTTTTGCTGAGCCATCCTGCCACCTGTTGGCAGCTCAGCGGTTGCTCAGCTCGAGCCGGGAATCGAACCGCTGTTGCTCAGAGCTCAAACTCTTGAGTGGGCTCTTAACCAACTGAGCCACTCGGCCAGCCCTAAGCTGCTTAATTTATCTGAGCCTTAATGTCCCCTTCAATGAGATGGGAATACTGATATTTACCTCATAATGTTTTGAGGTATGGGAAGATTGTTTGTAGAATGATAGGTGCTGCTGCTAAGATTAATAATGCTTTTTTTTCAGGGATTAGGTCTGCCTCTCCAGAAATGATTTCAGATTGGCTATAGGTCCTTCCATTTACTCAAGACAGATGCTCTTGTGGGAGATATTCTTGCCCTCAGGAGCTCTCAGATTTGCAGAATGTGAACAAATTAGTTTTGGGGTCACTAGTACTTAGCCTTTCTAATTTTTCCTTTCCTCGGGTGGAGGGAATGGAAAGTTGGCTCCTTTCCTGGTGGTCAGGACCCATCTCACCCTGTATAGAATCTTGGAGGGTTGCCCCCATCGGCCCTCCTGATCATGCTGCTCTGATTGACTGCTGCCCCCGGTTTCCCAGGTCTCCGAAGCCGCTCCACTCGCATGTCCACTGTCCCAGAGGTTCGCATCACCACTCAGGAGAATGATATGGATGTGGAGCTGCCTGCATCTGCAAGTTCCCGCAAGCAGTTTTCAGTTCCCGGTGAGTAATGAATCTCTTCTCCCTGTTTGAGGCCCTGGAGCAGCATCTCACACATTGCCCTGAACCTGTTTGGTAATTTCCTAATTCCTGGGCTCCCCTGGCTTCAGTACTGTTCTGCCGCTGCCCATTACTCTCTTATCTGGAAATTAATCTCATTTTACTTTTTTGACTTTATTGAAACATAATATACAGTATATACAGAAAAGTGAACGTATCATTGAGTATGTAGTTCACAAACTGAACACACTCATGTAACTAACACCTAGATCAAACAGAGCATTACCAGCACCCAAAAGTCCACCTCAGGCCCCCTTCCAGTTCCTAAGCCCCCAAGGGTACCTATAATCCTGACTTCTGAAAGCATAATTTAGCTTTTTCTCTTTTTGGACTTTATATATATGGAATTTTAAAAATATTTTTCATTGTCAGTTTTTATTAGATACATACAGTAGATGCAAATTTTGTAAGATACACAGTCATTACATCTTACATATATCAAATTCAGTTCTAATAAAATGAAGGTAAACAAAAGGGTCACGACCAAGTATGGGAAGTAAATAGTCGTCATGGGTTGTACCTTTCTGGGTTGAATCAGTATTGTTATTTGTTGCTCAAGTTCCCATTATTCCTGGCTTCTCTGTCTTTGCTCCCAATTAACCACCTGGGTTCCAAGGCCTTTGAGAAGTCAGAAAGGCCTGACTTTTCTCCCGAATGAGTAGAAAGGGCTGACGAAGAATCCACACTTGGGCCAAGTCTAAAGAGTTCAGGTCTTTAAAGGCTTTTCCCTTCATGTGTGGAGCCCATACTGAGCTACTCAACACCCTTTTAAGGTTTTTGGGTTTTTTTTTAAAGATTTTTATTGGGGAATTGGGGGGATGGGAACAGCGCTGAGGAATTGGGGGAAGGGGAGCAGACAAGTTGCTGTCGTTTTGTTCTTCAGTCTAGTTGTGGAGGATGTTGCTTCACTGGCACAAGTTGGCACCATCATTGCACTCTTCCCGGGCGAGGCAGATCAGTCGCCGGCTTCTGGACGGCCGCTCACTGCGGCTGCTGGCCGCTCACGCTGGCTGCTGGCTACACACGGTAGCCCATGGCAACCCACTGCCACAGGGGCTGCAGCCTACGCCGTCACCGGCAACTCACGGCAGCCCAGCTCCAGGTTGAGCTGTTGTTCAGCATCTTAGCTGTGGAGGGCAGTGTCACTGGCCCTCATATGTGGGATCCGAACCAGGGCCCTCTGGTGTCCCAAGCCAGTTCTTAACCATCGCGCCACTCGGCCAGCCCCCTTTTAAGGTTTTTTTGACCCCAGGAGCCTGCCCCTGCAGAGATACTGGTTAGGTTCAGGGTATGGGCTTAGGTGAAGAGAAAAGCCCAAGCTCTGCTCACACTATAGGAGCCTGAGCTCTTGCTGAGCTGGCAGTCAGTAGCCCTCCTCTTGGCCCAGATGAGCACAGCTGCAGCATGCCTGCCTGCTTCTCCAATGACTCTTGTTCCCCCACAGCCGGCCCCCCTAGGCCCTCCTGCCCTGCAGTGGCTGAAACACCATTGACGATAGTCAGCGAGGAAGTGGAAAAACAAGTCCATTCCACCCGAGGCAACTCTTCTGCAAACCCTGTGAACTCAGGTAGACACGCTGAGCTGTCTGCTGCCCTGCTTCCTGTGCACGAAAAATAGTTACATCCTGTCTCAAACCTGGCCTGCCTTGGCACCTGTGTTCAAACTGTGTTTGTCACATGGGGGCATATTTCCCTATGGCCATGGAGTCAATCTTTCACAAGAGATGACCCCGTCACCAGAAGCTGGCAGGAGCCTTCTGATGTAATTGAGGTGTTGTCACAGCTATAGTCTTGGCTGACACCTGAAGAATAGTCCAGAATGACCATCAAGACCAAGCAGGGATGGTTTCACCTCTTCTGGCTGTTGATAAAATGCCACAGAAGTATGGAGAGAGCTTGAGATAGACCTGGAGTGCTCACGTTAGCAAATCTTTACTTTGTAGGCTTGGCCATCCCAAGAATCACATGTATTGCTGCTTCTCCTTGCATATGGTGATTTAAGAACAAGAGTCTAGAGAAGGCCTAGTCCTGGGAACAGCCTAGGACTCAGTACAACAGCCAGAGAAGAGCCCGCTGGCTGGCCTAGACAAGTAAAAGAATGGTTCTTTCTCCTCCCTCTAGTGCGGAGGAAATCATGTCTTGTGAAGGAAATGGAAAAAACGAAGAACAAGCGAGAAGAAAAGAGGGCCCAGAACTCTGAAATGAGAGTAAAGCGAGCTCAGGTACCTTTCTTGGGCAAGGGTTTTTAATCAGGTATCTTTGAGTTAAACGTTAACAGTAACACAGATATGGTTGGACCCCAGCATTACTGAGACTCCAGTTCTGATATCCAAGAAGTTTAAGTGGTGTCTCATCAGGATTCTGAGAACAAATAAGTCAGATATTTTTCTGAAGGCCCTCAGATGATGCCTACTTCACGCCAATGTCCAGTGGGCATGCTTATCACATAGCACATTGGCTAGCATGTCTGCTGGGCATTTGCCTGCTTCCCCTGACCTAGTCGTGTATATGTGGTGGAGTGCTGCAGTGGAGTTCCAGCATTTCCCCTTCATTGGATTAATTGCTCTGGGGAATCTCAGCCTTCTGATCTCCAAAATGTGGGATAGTGGCCCTCACCCCAGTTCCTAGGTGGTTTGGTGCCTGCCTAGGGCCCCCACCAATCTCTTTTCCCAGGGCTATGTTCCTGAGTTCTCAGCCAAGAGCCAGGATGAGATTGTGTGGGGGCTTTGTCAACTCTGACGGGCCATGTGCACATAAAGAGATGTTGCCTGTGCTTAGCACTGAGGTCTGAGAGCACTTACCTCTAAGCAGTCATTTCCGTTTTGCTCTTGTCCCAAACAGGAGTATGACAACAGCTTTCCAAACTGGGAATTTGCCCGGATGATAAAAGAATTTCGGGCTACTTTGGATTGTCATCCACTTACTCTGACTGATCCTGTAAGTCAACCCAAAGGGCTTCTCCCTCTCCTTCCTGAGTAGGTGTACAATTAAGAGACAGAACACTTCTCTTGAAGAGTGTAAGAGCATTCAGGAATCTTCACTCACCCTTCAGCGTTTTTTAAATATCCTTTGGGGACTGGAGCTAGTGAGGCCTGGATGGGAGATTCTAATCTTTTTTTTTTAAGATTTTATTGGGAAATTTGTTGGGGGAGGGGAACAGCCAAGTTGTCCTTCAATCTTAGTTGTGGAGGGCGCAGCTAGCTCAGCTCCAAATCCATTCGCGCCACTCAGCTCAAGGTGCTGTGTTCAATTAGTTGCAGGTGGGTGTAGCCACCATCACATGCAGGAGTTGAACCGGCCGCCTCGTTGTTAAGAACGCATGCTCTATCCACTGAGCCGCCCGGGTGGCAGCTCAACGCAAGGTGCTGAGTTCAGTTTTTAGTTGCGGATGGGAATAGCCCACCACCTCGAAAAGGCAACCTTGTTGTTAGGAGCATGTGCTCTCACCAGCTGAGCTATCCTGCCACCTGTTGGCAGCTCAGCGACAGCTCAGCTTGGGCGTAGCTCACTGGCCCATGTGGGAATCGAACCGGCGACCCTGTTGCTCAGAGCTTACACTCTTGAGCAAGGTCTTAACCAACTGAGCCACTCAGCCGGCCCCGAGTCTGATGTTTATAAACCCCCCTGCACCCCCCACCCTCCCGTTTCCATAGGTTGGCTAGATTCTTACTAATAATCATGAAAGTGCTGAAACTTTCTATAGGCAGTGAGAAAACTGGAAAGAAAATTCAGAACTACCCTCTTGTTCTCCAGAGTAACTAATGGGGGAGGCAGGGTCCTAGTGTTAGATCTTGTCCCCTGACTGGGCCAGATATTAGGAGGGCCAGGGGTTCTGGTTAAACTGTCCTTTAATACTGTCCTGACCTTTTGTTGGTTGGTTGTCTTCTCATCCCCTTGAAGACTGAAGAGCACAGGATATGCGTTTGTGTTAGGAAACGCCCGCTGAATAAACAAGGTAAACTTATTTATTGTAAACTTGTAAAAAGAAAGAGGCTTTGGACTGAGGGTTCCCGTATCCAGGGAGCATCCCCTGAAAATACTCTCCTTCTGCAGAATTGACCAAGAAAGAAATTGATGTCATTTCCATTCCTAGCAAGTGTCTCCTCTTCGTACACGAGCCCAAGTTAAAAGTGGACTTAACAAAGTATCTGGAGAACCAGGCATTCTGCTTTGACTTCGCATTTGATGAAACGGCTTCAAATGAAGTTGTCTATAGGTTAGTTCCTTGCCTCTGTTTTTCCCTCCTTCCTCCCCATACCCTGCTCACCTTTTGTCTTTTCGATGCAAGACATTGTGGTTAACACCGCTCACAGACATGCTGAACTCTGAAGCCTATCCTGGCCTCCTCTCCTGTTTTCTTTGGATCAGCTATCACATAGAGCCGGCTCTGGCTCCTGGCTCCAAGAAGGCCCCATTTAGGCTGCCACATGCCATTTTGCAGCTTTAGTGGCCCATCCTTTAGTGGATCAGAAGTGAGGTATAACCCATTGCACTCTCTGAGGCTGAGCTGGACAGGCTCTAGGGCAGCAGTTCTCAACCTTTCACAGGGGTCGCCTAAGACCATCGGAAAACGCATATTTTCGATGGTCTTAGGAACCGAGACACCGCTCCTCTATCCGTCTCCAGGCCCACATGCAGATATGCCCACATACAAGTACCCGGCGACCCCTGTGAAAGGGTTGTTCGACCCCCAAAGGGGTCGCGACCCACAGGTTGAGAACCGCTGCTCTAGGGGTTCTTCCAATGTTTTAAGCAACCACCCCATTACTCATTGGGCTGGGCTTAACAGACTCAGCAATTCTAGGACTGCTTTGTCAAATATAGCACCCACTAGCATCATGTGGCGGTTTAAACAGAAGTTAAATATTGGGTTGTTGGAAAAGTCATGATGCATTTTTGCAACGAAAAACAGAAAAAATACGTCATGACTTTTCTGACAACCCAATATAATTAAAAATTCAATTCTTGAGCCGGCCGAGTGGCTCAGTTGGTTAAGAGCTCGCTCAAGAGTATGGGCTCTGAGCAACAGGGTCGCAGGTTTGATTCCCACATGGGCCCGAGCTGAGCTGCCGCTGTTGGCAGGATGGCTCAGCTAAAAAAATAAAATTTCAGTTTTTCAGTCACACCAGCCACATTTCAAGTGCTCAGTAGCCACATGTGGAAGTGGCTGCTCTTGGACAGCACAGGTAGAACATTTCCATCATGACAAAGTTCTACTGGACAACACTGCTCTGAACCAGAAGGTGACAAACTTCTGGGCCACATTTGACTCGCAGTTCCTTTCTATATGGCTTTCAGAATAAGAATAGTTTTCTATTTTTAAAGGATCATTAAAAAAAGTGTGACAGATCTATGTGGCCCACAAAGCCTAAAATATTTTAGGCTCCTGCTTTAGAGGACTTCCCCTGAGCTTTGTAATGTATCTCGTGCTAGAAGTTGGCTGCCAAGCTCAGGCTTTCCTCTTGTGTCTTCAGGGTCAGGAGGGGCTGGAGGCTTAGAGAGTGGGCCATCAGCTTGCTCTCGGCAGGCCAGTCCAGCCCTCCCCAGTCGGGTAGGGAGAATTTCAGATTTGCAAGTGGGGCTGGGGTCGGGTGGGCTGCCTTGCAGCAGAGGTGTGCTAGTGCTTGGAAGGAGGGATTAAGGTCCCAGGAGCTCTGCAGTGGAAGGGCAGCAGAACCACGTTCAGGGCACACGTTTTGGGGAGAGATAAACACTCTTCCTTATCCTTTCTCCTAGGTTCACAGCAAGGCCACTGGTACATACAATTTTCCAAGGTGGAAAAGCAACCTGTTTTGCATATGGCCAGACGGGAAGTGGCAAGACACATGTGAGTACTCGGGCATGGCAGGGACCGAGCCTGCCCATAGTACAACACTGGGTCCCTGAAAATGAAGACAGTGGGTTTCTTGCAGAAAGTCCCCTCAGTGCAGATGCCTCATCACTAGATATGCTTGCTGTGTCATGTTCAGGGAGGGGCCTTACCAGGTCCAGCCTCCTGGCTTTGGTGTGGCCCACTGGTGATGGGGCCAGTAGTGCTTTATCCTAGGCCAAGGGCCCTTTACCAAGGTCTTCTGCCCCTTTCCTTTGCAGACTATGGGCGGAGACCTCTATGGGAAGGCCCAGAATGCATCCAAAGGGATCTATGCGATGGCCTGTAAGTATTGTGTTCTGCCACAGTGGGGCTGGGCACAGAAAGGCAGATGGCTTACTTAATCCAGGCTCTCTCTCACAGCCCACGATGTCTTCCTCCTGAAGAATCAGCCCCGCTACCGGAACCTGGGTCTGGAAGTCTATGTGACATTCTTCGAGATTTATAATGGGAAGGTAGCTGGCAGGGAGTCTGTTTATGCTGTTGGGGCCCCTGAACTTTCTAAAACCTTGATGTTGGCTAGAAATTGTAGAAGCCAAACAACCTGTGGGCTGTGAAGCCTTTGGGCCACTCTGCCCTGATATGTGGGTGGGTGGAGGGTCATCTGATGGTTGGATGGTACCCAAGCTCAACAAGTATGGCAGGAATACTCCTCAGGGCTCCCTCTCAGAGGAGAGGTGTTCACTCTGTGTGCCCTGTGCTCCCTCGACCCACCTCCTTCATAACTCTTCTCCTGATCACACACATTCATTCTCATTCTCATATTCATATCCAGCCTCCTTTCCTCTCCCTGTGTGTGTATAAATATATATGTGTGTGTATATATAATATGTATGTATATATATTACACATACACCCCACACACACACACACATACCCTCTGTACTCTGCCTTCCTCAGAGCAGGATCTAAATATTATAATAATAGCTAATGTTGATTAGTAATAAGACATTATGTGCTTTGCACTATTCTAAGCCCTTGTTTTAATCCATTTATTCATCACAACAACCCTACAATGGGAGTATTACTGTCACTATTCTGCAGATGAGAAATAAGCCTAGAGTGGTTAAGTACTGATCCAGGCTCACACAGCTAGTAAAGCAGCAGTCACATCAAACTGAGGCAGCCCAGTTCAGAACCTAAGTGTACTGCCCTGTGCTGGTCCACCCAGCTCAGCTCTGCCTTTCCTGCTGCCAGCCCTTGTCTAAGCAGGGTCAGGTGGGTGCCCTGGACCTGATGGCCTTGGCCTTGTTTCCCTTCCTGGCACAGCTGTTCGACCTGCTCAACAAAAAGGCCAAGCTGCGCGTGCTGGAGGATGGCAGGCAGCAGGTGCAGGTGGTGGGGCTGCAGGAGCACCTGGTGAGCTGTGCAGATGATGTCATCAAGATGATCAACATAGGCAGTGCCTGCAGGTCAGCGTTCTGGCGGGGGGAAGGGGCCACCTTCTCATGCCCAGGTCAGAAGACAGAGACTATCTGCGAGCCCATTGTGTTTGCACAGAGCCCTGATTTCCCTACTGTGGTGAGGACTCTGAAGGCCTCTGCCTTAAGGGTCTCAATGGGGCAGATGACCCAGGGCCAGAGGCTCATCAGGAGCAAGTCAGAGGGTCTTAAATCTAAACAAGGCAGGCTGTATTCCCAGACTCTTACTCCAAAGGCAGGCTTCCTGACTTCTCTGGGTTTCTCTTTGCTATTTCTCTCTCTGTGGTGGGAACCAGGAGCTCTGGGTCTGTTCTAGGCTGGAAGTGATGGGGTCATAGCCCATCACTTGAGGTGGAGAGGTGCCCTTTCTCCAGAGCCCTAGGCGTGGTACAGTGGAGTGCTGGGCAGCTTGTGGAGGCCCAGGGAGCAAGCTGCCTTCTGCAATGCCATCAGCTTCTGGCAAGTTCATGACAACCCCTCATTTCCTGTGTCTCCTGCAGCAGTAACAACTCATCTTTTCCCATGTCCTTATGGGCCCCCAGGTCTGGCCAGGCCCCTAGCACAAAATCCAATACTTTGACTGACAGGAAAACTTAACTAGGTCCAGAGCTGCAGGGAGAGCTGCTGACCAGGGCAGGCAGAACAGAAGTCTGAGACAAAAAGACACAGGACTTTTTCTTAGAGTCCTGACTTGTGTCCCTTTTGAGTCTTTTCCCAGAGAACTCATTGCTGTGGACTGGGGTGGCTTAGACTGGGGTGCCATGGTGGCTGGTGACTTCAGAAGCTCATAGCCTTCCTTTGCCACAGGACCTCTGGGCAGACATTTGCCAACTCCAACTCTTCCCGCTCCCACGCCTGCTTCCAGATTCTTCTTCGAACCAAAGGGAGAGTGCATGGCAAGTTCTCTTTGGTGGATCTGGCAGGGAATGAGCGAGGGGCGGACACTTCCAGTGCTGACCGGCAGACCCGCATGGAGGGCGCAGAAATTAACAAAAGTCTCCTGGCTCTGAAGGTATTGGGCAAGTAGAATGGTTCGCCTGGAGGACTGCTGACAGAGGGAGGAAGTGGGCAGCGTGAGAGGAAAGCAGGGACCTCAGTTGTACCTGCTGCTCCACAGGAGTGCATCAGGGCCCTGGGACAGAACAAGGCTCACACCCCGTTCCGTGAGAGCAAGCTGACACAGGTGCTACGGGACTCCTTTATCGGGGAGAATTCAAGGACCTGCATGGTGAGTGGGGGGCGCTTTGGAGGTGGTGCAGGAGGACATTTAGTCCTGTCCTGGGCAGGAGGCCTGGCGCCCTTGGCTGCCTGGGTTTTCAGGCTCCTCTTTGCCTAACCAAGAGGGGAGGAAAAGATGTACTCCCTTTACTGTATGTCCATGCAGCTCTGGGTTTGGAGGAGGTCATTCCTTAACTGGTGGGAAGGAGGCTCCAGAATTCAGAAGGACCCTTGGGGAAGCAGAGGAGGGAAGTCCTGGCTTCCGTGGCTTCCCTCAGAGTCCTTGGCTTCCAGCCTAGGAAATAGGAAAGGGCTGTCGTCTTGAGTGGTTTTGGTCCTTATTTTATCCACAAGCCCTTCTAGCTAGGGCCTGTCCTTCCTCCCTTCCAGGAATAGCCTCTCCCTTGCCTGCTGGGGAAGATGGGAATTTATTATTTTTTTTTAAAGATTTTTATTGGGGAATTGGGGGATGGAAACAGCGCTGGGGAATTGGGGGAAGGGGAACAGACAAGTTGCTGTTGTTTTGTTCTTCAGTCTAGTTGTGGAGGACGTTGCTTCACTGGCCCA